TTCTGGATCCGTATCAAGACATGTCTGGATTGATCAAGTTCAAACTTCACACACACATGGTACATCATGTCACAAATAGATATGTGCATTTGTTTCATGATCTGCTTAACGATAGTGGAATGATGGCCATTTTAAGGCGGAAAATGCATCAAAATCACGTATTTTCACAATTCCAGAACCGGATCTCAGTCATGCATGGATGGATTTTGTTCAGATTTAGCACAATGTGTTGTACATATGCAGGTGCATTTCGGTCATGATCTGCTTTGAATGTATATGTCACTCAAATATGAACGGAACGGGGACGTGTCATTGACAATGACTTGTTTTTAATATAATTTATATTATTATGATTACTTTAAACACATCACTAGCTGAAGCAATTTTTTCTCATTCGTTTTAGCTAGCTGTTGATGCTTTCAGCAGCCAATGTGATAATACAGCCTTTTTTTTACTGATTGTCTTGAATCATTGTGATTGGATAATGGGCATGCTCAATCTCGTGTGATTTAATGTTCGTCACCATTAGTGGATATAGTCTTGACTTGATGAAATATACTGATACTGTACGTGGCTTCAATTTTGTGAGATGTAAATTTTAGAGAAGTTCACATGATAGGGAAAATCATGAATTTTGTAGTAGTGAATTGGGTCAGTGGGGGTAATTAAGTCAATTTTTCACTGTGAGCACTCTTAAATAATCAAACTGTGAACTTTGACAGCAGCAAAAATATAGTAATTAGCTATTGTGCATTTTTTTTTTCGAGTACATGTACCTTGGGCAGACCTCTTTTAGATTTGTTTGATTTTTAGATTCTCTAATTTTGATGAATATTTATGTCATTTTTGGTAATCTCTCATTTTGATTTTGGCTGTAATCACTTGCTAACATCAATCTAATAGAAAATATTGTATATAATCCTGATATCTTATAATAAAATGACATACCGGTAATCATAGAATGTTGTACAGCACCTAAAACTCATTAAACATGTACAGACTTTGAGGAGATTATCAACCCCCCAACTGCGTTACTTTGCTTTGATTTTTTGTGAATCCCAAAGAAGTTTCTTGTATGAACAAAGCCCTAGCAAAATTATTTCAACTCCAAAACAGTTATAAATATGTCTGTTGCTATTTTAGTTTTTGTTTACTCATTTGTTTATTTGTTCTCACGAATAAGACGCAGTGCTCCGAGAAATAACAATTTAATTAACACTGAGACTACATTTTATTTCAGACTGATATATTTATTTATTCCAATGAAGACAGAGATAGGTACATTTACATATACACAGCTTTGGTGCTTACAGTTGTCATCATGGGGTTGATCAGAGCATTCCTCTTCTACAGAGTGTGTGTTATTGCCTCCAAAAATTTACATAACAGTATGTTTTCATCTATCATCAGAGCTCCCATCCTTTTTTTTGACACAAACCCTGTGGGTGAGTAGCTTTCAATTATGATGTTACATCATTGGTGTCTGGGTGGATAAAATAAACATAGACCTTTTTAACAAACTCTTTGAAATAACATATGGTGTGAAAGTTTTTTACATTTAACACCATGGCAGCTGATGCCATTCATAGTATTCACTAATATATTTTGTGTGGCCTCATAGGTGTTAGAGATGTGAATATAAAAAATACATTTCATATGCAAATAAAATAAATATAGCTCTAAATACTGTTAGTATATTGTTGAAAAATTTATGCATATTTGATAAAGCATGTAATTTTTTGTGAATCAAATTACTTCATTGTTCGGTTATCTATACACTAAATTTAATCTGGACACAATGAGATTCAAGTCAAGTTCTAGGTACTTTATATCATATCATATATCATATCATATCATATATCATATCATATCATATCATATCATGAGTCAATTTTGACTTTGAGTAAATACTCAAATACTCAGACTAAGCTATGCACTGCACTGTGCTTCAATATAGTGAACATTTCACTATAACAAACTAATTGTATGTCTCCCAAAGAGTTCGTTATAACGAAGCTACAGTGTATATGGCTTCTTTAGTATAATCACCAGGTTTAGCATAATCATGCAGTGCCTGTACGTGGTCATGCCACTTTGTCTGAGGTAGTCTAAAATCATGTTTTTATGGTTCATCCATGTTAATGTATTTATGATTCATAATACTTATAATATTTTATAACTTTGCTTTCTTCAAGGTCGTATTTTGAATAGATTTTCCAGAGATATTGGATTCATGGATGATTTATTACCTTGGTGTTTCTTTGACTTTGTCCAGGTGAATTACAACTTTATTAATTCAGCCAATATTGTTCACATTATTTTGACCAGCATGTTGATACTAGTATTGAAAATCAGAATTCTAGCAGTAGTCAACTGATGATGAGTATTGTTACCTCACTGAAAATTACATAGATTTTGTATGTTGTGTTTAGGGACCTTATCTACCAGTTATGTTACACAGCTGGGAAACCTCATGAATGGTATATTGTGTATTCACCATTTGTGTTGTTTTATATTATCACATTAAATAACCTTTTTTTTCTTTCTCTATTTCAGTGTGCCTTGCTTTCTTTAGGCATTGTAATTGTTGCAGGTGTCATTAATCCATGGGTGTTTATACCAACAGTGCCATTAGCTTTACTCTTTCTTTATCTCAGACATTATTTCCTTTCAACATCGAGAAATATCAAACGCCTAGATGGAGTCAGTAAGTTTGTTTTTTACTTGTGTTACTGAATATTAACATTGACACCTGCTCTGAGTTTGCTCTTGTGTACATGGCAATCTAAAAATATTTGTTCTATATTATTGCTAGCTATTAATATATTGGCTGCTGATGTTGGTTATTGATGGCAGCTTTCAGCAGACAATGTGCTATACTCAAGACGCATTCAATAGTTTATAATAAATACATAGTATTGTAGAATTATATTTTCTAAGCAGGTGGCTATATAATATGATTAAAATTTACAGTTGTAATAAAATTATTCCTGAAAGGCATAATCAACTTTCAACTAATCAACTATACCCTTTGAAATGTTTTGTAATGCCTTAACATGACAATCAATTACTGCAAATATTACCAACCTTTATAACTTCTGATGTGGCATTTATTGGTCTCTGCTTGGTCGAAGTCTATTGTCAAATTTTCTTCAAACTAGGTGGAAGGATTAATCATTATGGGTACAGCACTTCAAATTGTTAATTGAGTCTATAACAACACACATCTAAAGCCATAAAAAAAAACGAAATATGTATTTAGTCTAAGACACTTTAATTTCGGAGACGCAAATTGTTACATATTGTGTTAGTCAGGAAAAGTCGCAATGTTTTTTAGCAGTGACAATTTCTCTATACAGTGTCAGTGACTTTCATGATATTTTGTCTTCACAATCTGGAAATCAAGAACATTTCTAGCAGTGAAAATTAAACGGTTCACAGTACACTTTATGACACATGTTCCTGCAAAACAATTCTCCACTTTAAATATAATTAATTTAAGTACATTTTAATGATTCATTAATTAATTTGTGTCATAACATTTTAAGAATAAAATTACAATTCTCTATTAAGGGACCAACATGGATAATTGTTTTGTATATATTATATACTCTTTCACATGCAATACACAATAGGAACTATGCATTGCTGGCTTGTATTGAGATTTGGCTAAAGACGTTACTGATTTGGCCCATATATTAGAAAACTGGTAATATAAAATTTGAAACTTTATTATTTCCTTTTTTCAGCTCGTAGTCCTGTTTATTCACATCTGTCAGCATCTCTACAAGGTCTGTGGACAATTCGTGCCTTCAAAGCTGAGGATATTTTTATAAGAGAGTTTAATGCGCATCAAGATTTGCATACAGAAGCATGGTTTCTACATCTGACTGGTAGTAGATGGTTCTCTATACGCCTTGATTTGTTATGTGCATGCTTTGTTACAACAGTATCGTTCTCTTCAGTATTAGCAGCAGAAAGTAAGTCTGTACACTCCAGTGAAGTGTGTATGGAGTACCGTAAAATCTGCATTAGAAGATGCATCTTTAATGCATCCATTGAGAACCAAAAATTGATCATTTCTCATATTTATAGATGCTCTAATAGAAATCGCATCTCTTGCCTTGTACCATTTTAATAGAAGCCGCGGTTTCTAATACAGATTTTACAGTGTCAAGTCTTTGTTTTCAAACAAAGTTTACATGTGTTGAAACATATTATGAATAGGGAAAATAATGCCCAGCTTCAGACTTTGCTTCACAGAGTGAAGCTGTTCATATTAGTGATCGCCTTTCATCGTCAACCATCAGCTGTATGGGTTTCAAATCCCTAGAAATGTACCTTGGAGAGTTCTCACTCATATTTGTTCATTTTGTGACAATACCTTTTATTCCCTAATTATAGTGAATATTTCTGTCATTTTTGGTGAACAATGGTATTTCTATTAAACTTGAAAATGGCTTGCCCAGCTATGTCAATATTTTGTTTGTAGACACCTTGAATGAACTTCAGTCTGATTGACTATATTCATTCCTGTATCAGAATTAAATCATTCAGTTTTGATAACTTAAATTTTCTCATTTTAGTGAATACATGTGTTATCTTGAAAATGACTAGACTGATTGATGTGTGTTATCTGAAAATATTCCTAAGGCTAACTCTATGAAAGACTTTAGTACTGGTCATTTCAATATACATATTGAAGGTATAACTTACTGTTTTATGTTGTAGATTTAAATGCCGGTTTAGTTGGTCTTTCTTTGGCATATGCAATTACCTTGATGGGTGTGTTTCAGTGGTGTGTCAGACAAAGCGCTGAGGTTGAAAATCAGGTAAGGCAATGATATAAAATTGAAATCAGTGAATTGGGCTATAAATTAAAAACACATTCCACAGATTCCATTGTTTGACTTTTCAAACCTCAAAATCATTTTGTTGCATTGTTTGATATAGTTCCTATGTGATGTATATTTATGTAAAATACAATATGTAGAGTTTAAATTACTGGGTGGGTGTTGAAACTCTGCTGCTGTTACAACTTTACCAGAAAATAGTGTACTTTATGTACAAATATTTTGACTGTTATTTTGTTATAAATCTTTGAGAACTAAAAAAAATCATAATTCAATTAACTAATCCTAAAATATTTTTGTTAAACTTATCAAGATCTTGTTGATCTCTTGTAATAAAATGTTTTTGTGTCCTATTATTCTAGATGACTGCGGTAGAGAGAGTCTATGACTACACTCAACTTGCACCTGAAGCTGCACTGCATAATCACTGTAAACCTGAGCCAGAGTGGCCTAAACACGGCATTATTACCATGGAAACTATGTCATTTAAATATTCTGAAGATTCACCTACAGTATTAAAAAATATTTACCTCTGTATCCGAGCTAAAGAGAAGGTAAGTTTCAGTTCTCACTAAAATTATAAAAATCATAATTTTATATTTTTTGTTTAAATGCCACTATGAATGATAGATGGTCACACAGATCTATCATGGAATATAGAAATATGGTTTAATTGAATTTTAATGCCAAATTTGAAACTTTCTGACAAGCAGGGTTGCACTTATTATCTTTGGGTTTAGCGGGAAAAATTTCCACTTGTCTTTTGTCCTCATCAGAGAATAGAAGCAATGATGTGTCTCTTTGCTGGCGATATATGTTCCTGGAATGTATTCTTTTTCTAACAATGTTATTCTACATATTTATACAGGCAATAAAATGTGTTACAAGCCATGCATCGCATCAGTCCCTGTTTAAGAAACCTAGTTTTGTCTGAATGAGGACTAAAAATCAATGTAACGTACTATATCTGCATTATGATATGGTTTTCACGTTTACATGTATTATGAATTTGTGTACGTTTTTGTAAGTGTTGAGTAGCGGTTTTCATAATGGCCATGGATGGTTTATTTCATGTCAAATAAAATATAAACAGTAAACGAGAATCCCTATATTTGTCATGATGTATTTCATGATTCCATTTCTTTGTTGACGTCTTTTTTGTTTATGATAGGTTGGTATTGTAGGACGAACTGGTGCAGGTAAAAGTTCATTAATCTCGTCTATATATCGACTGGCTGAACCTAGTGGTACTATAAAGATAGATGGTGTGGATATCAGTTCACTAGGATTACATGATTTAAGATCTAAAGTGTCCATTATACCCCAGGTATGTCTTATATTTTGAATATTAAAAATTATTGATGAATAGATTAACTGTACACCATTCCTATAAATCTGGTGACATGTTGTTATACATCAATAACTGCGTTTGGTCTTGTAGTCTTTCATCATCTGTAATTTAGTAAAACATGTTTCTTTAACATCTTCATTGATTGCCGATTACAGATCAAAACAAACACTTTAAACAGTCTTGATGTCGCCCATATACCGTACATCATCAGAGCACATCATCAATATATTGTGCAACTAAAAACGATGAATTGTTATGCTTTTTTTTATGTCTGTTGCATGTCAGGATCCTATGTTGTTTACTGGGCCTCTACGAAAAAATTTAGACCCATTCACTGAACACTCAGATGCTGAACTTTGGCAATCACTTGAGCAGGTATTTATAAAGTGTTATTATACATCATCTTGCTGTTTCAGTTTTCATTCATTTTTGATCAGTAATAAACGATTTCTCTATGTAGCCACATTAAAGTTGCCAACAACATTTGGAAAAATAAACAATTTATCTGTCATTGAATGGGTGACTCTTTGCCAAAAACATTGGGCCATTTCTCTGACATACATTAATCTGTTTCTTTTAAACCTAGTACAAAGACAAGACATGTTGTTATACACATATTAGTTTTGTTTTTAATTTGATCGAATATGCCAAACTGATTCTGTACATAAAATAGGCCTGAATCTTCGCACTTGCCTTGACAAGTTCAATCAAACTTTGTATGAATACATATTGAATTACAGGTGCACAATATTTTGAGGGGATCCAATATTCAATATTCTACTGATTTTTGAATACTTTCACCCCAAATGTCTTACATCCTACCAGTCTTTTTATAGCAGTATTCAAATGATCATGCAAAGTTGCGTGTCAGCGCCAACATTATTACACTGTATCAACCTAATCCCTACGCAATTTTGAACTTTGAATGATGTGTTCAACCAAAGAATCTAGAAAATACAATCAGAAATGGTCAGAAATAATAATTATAACAGCATAATACAAGCTAGTGATAAAGTAAAGTGACTTCTGAAAACTGAATGCTCTTTGCCAGCTTTGTATACGAGGCCCGGCTTTAGCTATAAAGTTATGGTACTATTACATTTCAGTGACTTCAGTGGTTATAATGGAATGATTAGATTCAATTATGGCGTGTTATTAATGATTATTAAATTGATTGATTCCTAGGTACAGTTAAAATCAGCAGTAGAAGATTTAGTTGGTGGTTTAGAAGCTGAACTAGCGGATTCAGGGTCAAATTTAAGTGTAGGGCAGAGACAGTTGGTGTGTCTTGCAAGAGCTATACTTTTAAACAATAGAATTCTCATTATGGATGAAGCTACAGCTAATGTGGACCCTAGGTAAGAACTGGGCATACCTGACTCATGTCTTGTACAATAATAAAATACTGTTTAGATTATTTTCAAAGAACCAAGGACCAAATATTGCCAAAGATCTTTGAATCCAAATAATTTCATTGTACGAGTTTCTTCATACCATATATGAAATATGATGTATATAATGCAAAATTTATTATTATTGGTGTAATGAACATCATATGATTATGTTATTTCAGAACTGATGCCTTGATACAGGAGACAATCCGTAACAGATTTCAGCATTGCACTGTACTGACAATAGCGCATCGACTGAATACTGTCATGGATTCGGATAGAATATTAGTAATGAGTAACGGTAGAGTTGCAGAATTTGATGAACCACATTTACTGCTACAAAATCCCTTGGGGGAACTCTCACGGATGGTTGAGCAAACTGGAAGAAGTGAAGCAGACCAACTTCACCAGGTTGCTGAAGAAGCTTATAATGTGCGTCATCCTGTCAGTACACTCTGGATATCAGATGCAAAGCGTTCATTCCTCAGTTCGTATATACCAACAGATGTTGATATTCTTGAGATAGAAACTGTTTTATAATTATCAAGCTTCTGCAATATCTGAATGTGTTGCCTTCTTTACATATATCCAATATTTTCATGCCTTGTATGGCCTTTTTGCATATTAAGCTATGTACCCCGGTATATCTATTACCACTAAAGGTTTATCCACATCTTAGCACTTCCTCCATGATACATAACTTCAAATGTATGCAAATATGCGACGATGCACATTTCCATTGTAATTTACTTAATATATAAACCACTGTCAACTTACAAATACAATCTAATCTGAATTGCAGTTTTCAATGGTTTGAGGGATTAAATGTGAGATTAATTATTTTTTGGCTCTCTGTACAACCATGTTTTATCATGTGTACCGGTATATATTGCAGGGATTTTAGTCACACGGCATATATTAAATCTAGTTTTGATAACATTGTTCTCATTACCACCAATACTATCTCCTGTCTCTTATCCGTATAAGTCTTGCTGTTTGAGTGTAGTTAATGTACTCAATTGCACTCATTTAAAAAATAATGACAACCTTATTTATATGGGAAGTGTGTGTCATATAATGCAACCACCAACACTCACCATGCACCATGTTTACTCTATTAGAAATGCATCTCCAATAGAAGGGCATATTTACCAAAATTTCATTTGTGTACTGAATCATTAAAATGTACTTAAATTAACCATAGACATACCTCTGTAATGTATGTAAATGTATACTTAAATATGTATATACATTATTGCATTTGAACATCAGTGAACATAATAGTTGACTGTTGTCATAAAATAAACCTATATAATTATTTTCAAATATGTTAATCAAGGCATGTACGGGAAATTATATATATGTATTTGGTACAAAATTAACAAAGAAATTATACAGAAATATGTAAAAATTGGCTTGACAACATATGCGTGTTTAGTTTACAATCTCCATATGGATACAAGTGCATGGTTTGCAATCTCCATACGAATACAAGTGCATGGTTTGCAATCTCCATACGAATACAACTGTGTAGATTATGATCTCCATACGAATGCAAGTGTGTGGTATACAATCTCCATAACAAGTCATAAACAAAAATGTAAAGCTACAGGAATTTATGTGCCATAAGTGTAGCAAACAGACTTACCGGTAAAAATGTTTGACCAAATATTATTCAAGCAAAATGCAAATGATGACTAGTGGGTTGGTTGGTATGCTCCACTGGCACTGGCATTTGATGTAATGACCATTAGAGCAAAATACTAGTATTTCATTAACTCCTTTTTTACATCAGTACATTGTATACTAATATTTTAAACATATATTAAACTTTTATTTTATGTCAATAAATTATTCATGTCTGAGTGTCATTTTCTGTATGTTTCAGTCTCTGAGAAAGGGGGACTTGAGGTAGAAGCCTACTCATAATATTTGAGAAAATTAGATATAAATGTTCATTGGTCTATTGAGTAAAATCCCAGAGCTATTGTCCCCATGGTACCATGAAATTATAACATTCTTTTGTGTGTTGTGTATTGTGAAAAAAAATAACCATTTTTAGAATAATTCCATAGAACACATACAATTATTATTCAGGAAGACAATAAGTGTCACCAGCCTACAATTTAAGATGTGGCATAATATCCCTGCCATGAGAACCAGTGGTAAAAACATAATACTGACAAAATTGTCACTTGCCACTGAAATACATCATTTTCTTGAAAAAATAGCCTTAAGGGTCGTTGCCTTTTTTTGAGTTGACTACCTTAATCTTTTTACCACCAGACTTTGCCAAAATCTGTCTGTACTTTGTTCTTATACTCTTCAATATTTCTAGAAATGAACCCTAATTGTGGAGCCAACAAACAACATTTTTCAGTTTTGGTTATTTTTGTCCCGATCTTCTGAAGGAAAGTGCAGACTATAAACAGGACTTTTGTGAATTTGTGATGAAAGAAGGGAACTGGTGGTGAAAAGTTTAAGGATATTTGGTACACAAGAAAACTATCAGTTTCTGTTCGAACTATTCAGAGCTGTATTTCAGAGCCCTCCAGACTGAATAAGTTCATTCTTTGTATGTGTCTAGTATTTTTTGTGAGACCTGCTCACATGCAGTGGTTTAGTGATTCAATCCAAAGTGGTCAACTGGCAGATGCCTTGTTTTTACGTTGCCCGTACATCAAAGGTCACTGATCTCAGTGGAAATATGCATTGTTGTATGTGTTCAATGAAGCAAATCATTTATCTTGTAATAATATCCTTGGTAATGTATCCCCCAAATCCCATGGGAATACTATACTGGGGTTCAAAACCAACTCATGGAGAGATTTTTTGCACAGTCTGATACACATTTGCAAACCTACCAATTTAATCTTTACAGAAAACCAATATAAGCACTCCTATGAACTAGGTGCCAAACTTTGATCAAGATCTGAATCTAATGGAAAATCTGTTTAGTTAAAAGTTATCAAATCAAAAACAATACATAAAAAATACATAAAAAGCAAAACGTTGCATCCACATTTTAAAAGAA